AAAGAAAGAAAAGCTTATGCACACCTTGGGCAAATCTCCCATGACAGCTTCCTCCTGAGAGACAGGTCTTGGCTCCCTCTACTCCCACCTCTGACAGTACAGGTGAAGGCTATATGTCAAGGTGTTTGGACCACAGGTTCTTAACTTCTGAGTCACAGAACCCTTGGAAACTGTGATGAAAGTATGGATGCCAAATTCCCCAAAAATGCATAGACACATAGTTTTGCATGTGATTTCATGGAGCAAAGCTTTCAAATAGAGGCAGAAATGAGTTCTAATCCTTATTTAGCCACAACTGTGTGACCTTTGGTGAATCTCTTCTCTGAGCTCTAATTCCCTTATCTGGGCATATTATCTCATACGAGGTTAATCCCATAGGGTTACTGGGAAGAAGAAATAAGTAAGGAAAAGGCAAATATTGCCAACACAGCAACATACAGTAGGAACTCAAGTATGAGTCCCTTTTGTTCCTTCCTCCTTCCCTTTCCTTTGTCAGGTCAATCAGCTCAGATACCCAAGGGTTAAAAAAGTGAACAAAACCTAAGGGTTAGGGAAGACTGCAAAAATTTCTAGGTCACACTAGGGACTTCTCAGCTTGTTTCTGAACTAATTATTTGCTGGAGGCCCGTGGAGTGGTAGCCTGCTCTAAAGAGCCACCTTCTAACTAAAAGTAGCTATTAGTAAGTAGGCAGACAAGGAAGAAAGCTCAGGTCCCACAATCCCAGCCCATCCTCCAGCTTTACCAGCTGTTCCTGAGTCTTTTTCTGGTCCCGGGAGGCCTGCAGCAAGGCCTCCTTGGCCTCTTCAGCTTCTTGACGCTCCTTGGCCAGCTTTTCAGCCTCACTCTGGGCACGCTTCCGTTCCTGCTCAAGTTCCAGAGCCCTACGGGTCTGTTCTTCCAGTTCTGGGCAGAAAAGGAGGGGAGAAGGCAGTGAAGAGCACAGAGATAAAGATGACACACTCGCTTTCTTCCTGGAAATGCCCTACCCCAGGACAAAGCTGGCAGAAAGTTCTGAGCTCTCTTCTTGTGCATCCTTCTTCTAGTCTGTAGCCACACCTGAACTACATTGCCTGAGTCAGGCAAAAGGGTCTCCAGCTCAGAGTTACGCCTGGAAAAAAAAAACAATCTCCAAGGTGACTCCAAGCCTCACCTTGCTGAGCCTTCTTAGTCTGTTCCTCGATCTGCTTCAGCTTCTCCATCAGCTCCTCCTTCTCCCGTTCAATCTTCTCTTTCTCCTTTTCTGCCATTTCACGCTTCTTCTTCTCGTTTTCCAGCATAGCACTAGAGAAGGAGATAAAAAGGATAGAACAGGATAGCAAAGCTCTATAAAAATCTGGGGAGGCTGGACACAGTGGCTCACACCTGTAATCCCAGCACTTTGGGAGTCCAAGGCAGGCAGATCACGAGGTCAGGAGTTCAAGACCAGCTTGATTAACATAGTGAAACCCTGTCTCTACTAAAAATACAAAAATTAGCCAGACATGGTGGCACCATGATAGTCCCAGCTACTTGGGAGGCTGATGCAGGAGAATTGCTTGAACCTGGGAGGCAGAGGTCGCAGTGAGCCTAGATCACGCCACTGCACTCCAGCTTGGGTGACAGAGCAAGACTTCTTCTCCAAAAAAAAAAAAAAAGCCTGGGAAATTCCAAGGCTTGCTGCCTCTGGGTCTCTCAGCCCCACATTTCCAACACATTCAGAGATTATGAGTTTGGGCCACCCTCCCTTAGCTCTATACCCTTGTCCTTATATCACAGCCCCACATAGGCCGGTGTACACGGGGCCCTGTCAATATTCCCCTGAGTCAGGAATCCTAGCTCTCCCACCAACCCACTGGGTGTCCTTAGCTATGTCACTGCTTTGCTTTTGTTCCCCTATGTACAAAACAGTCCAATAAGACCTGCCCTATCTACCTTGTAGGGAGACAAGTTTTGGCTCTGTGCTGGAATGAAGTGCTTCAAGTCTAGTAATCCCTATGGCTAGGGCATCAATCCTAAGGTATAATTCTGCCTGACATAAAGCCCAGCTCTAGGCTTCTTTTTCCCAGAGTTTGTTACAAATCTGGAATAAGTATTTGTTTTTTCTTGCCCTAGCACCTTTTCCAGGAACTTTCTTATCTCACTTGGCTAGGTATTCTCCATTTGAGCCCTCAAAATACTTGACTTACCCTTCTTCCCATCCCTCTTCTGTATTTTTTCTCCATAGCACTTCCTAACCATCTTATGTACCACATACTTTGCTTATTTATTATATCTGTCTCCTCCCCACTAGAATGCTAGATTCACAAAAGCAAAGATTTTTGATCTTATTCACTGCTCAATCAATATTTATTAAGTGACATGACCTTTGTGTCTTGAGTTATGGTTATATTGTTTTTCCTCTCTCTGCTATTAGACTGTGAGGTCCTACAGGGCAGGTTCCTGCCAGATCCAGCTCTGTAAAAACTGCCCCTCAAACTTGGTAAATTTTTTCTGAATAAATGTGAATATTGGTGTCTAACCCCTCATATATGAAGTCCTAGGTTGGCCTCATGTCCTGACTTAGCAGGCTGGGGACCTTTGAGAAGCTTTCTTGCCCCGACCCTGGTCCCCCACATTAGTGTGCAGCACCTACCGCTCCATCTGCTTCTGGTGCTTCTCCTCCCGAGCCTGTGCCTTCATCTGCTGCACCTCAATGGTGTCAGGCTTGCGACGGCGCATGTATAGTTCATGGTTCCCCATGCACAAGGCCAAGATCCGCTTGTTAATCCGCAGCCGGGGAGCATAGAAGACGAAGTCCTGGTGGGAAATTAGCAATCAGAAAGAATTTGGAGGGACAGGTGAAGGTGATCTTCTGCCTTCTAAAAAGCTAAATCCAAAAGCACTGGAAAGAATATTTAATCTAATCTCCTGCCCTACAGATGGGAAGACTAATTATCAGAGTGGTGAAGTGACTTGCCCAGGATCAGATAGCAGGCAGACCCAAGACTGGAAACCCAAGTTTCTTAACTCTGAAACCCAGGTTCTTCCCACTAAATCACAATTTATTTCAATCTTTGCTTATGAAAAGCATCCTAAATTAGTCTTAATCAAGTTGAAGGATTCAAACTTTCTCTGCTAATTAGGGAACATGCTGGGTCTCAGGTAACCTCTTTTAGAAGCCAGATGATCCCTAATTAATACATTGGTGGGTGTGGTATGGGTGGCTGGACTGTTTCTGCAATATCCTAAAAGCAAATCCTACACCCAGCCCCTTAAATCCTTTTTGAAACAGGTAGGCTGCAAATACATATATAAACACATAAATCTGATCACTGCTTGTCCTGGCTGTTGTTGTTGTTTTTTTCCCATTTATTTTACTGCATTTTAGGTTTTGGGGTGCATGTGAATCTGGCATCTCTCCCCTTGCTATCTCTCCCCAACTCCCCACCCCCCACTGTGCCTCCCCNGACCCCAGTGTGTAGTGCTCCCCTCCCTGTGTCCATGTGTTCTCATTGTTCAACACCCGCCTATGAGTGAGAACATGCAGTGTCTGATCTTCTGCTCTTCTGTCAGTTTGCTGAGAATGATGGTTTCCAGGTTCATACATGTCCCTACAAAGGACTGCAGGTTGCTGTTTTTAAAGTGAGCCCTTGATCTCAGCTGGTTTGGTTACTTAACTTTTCTGATAGAAGTTGAGCACGGCAGCAATAAAAGAAAACACACAAGAAAATCCAGTGTGTTTGAGTCTGTTACTACAAATATCACTGGACCAAAGTCACCAGCTGATGGGCTGGCTACCACATCCTCTGCCACTGACCAAACATTGCTACTGTCTCATATAGCTTGGGGTACAGTGGAGGGAGCACAGGCTCTCAAAGTCAAATAATCTAGGTATAAATCCCAGCTCTACCATTTTTAGTGATGTGATCTTGGGCAAATCACTCCATCTCTCTAACCTCAGTTTTGATAGCCATAAAATTAGTATGCTGTTTACTAATTACCTGACCATGTTGCTGAGGGTGTAAGGAGATAATATGTGTAAAGTCCCAAGAAGAAGTTCAGACACCTCAGGGCTGGAGAAGAATGGTTGAGCCTTCATTAAAAGTGTCAGGCTCATCATGGTCACTGGGCCTTGTTAGACATGAGGTATCCCAGAAGAGGAGATCCTCAGCTCCATTTTCCACCCTACCCACAATCACCAGCTATCTGGTCTTGTCAGCTGCAGGCAACTAGTGGGTAAGAAGTGTGGCAAGTGTGTTAGAGAAATGAGTGATCTTAAAGCACTATCTTAGTCTTGGGTTGCTCTGGAGAAAAGTCTGAGAGGGCAGCAGTAAAGTTCTACCAAGAAGTTTGGAGGATCATCTTTGGATTTGGACTTCTCTGGCCAGAGCCCTTTCTCCACAATAAAAAAGAAATCAAAGCCTGGGTGTGGTGGCTCATGCCTGTAATCCCAGCACTTTGGGAGGCCAAGGTGGGCAGATCACCTGAGGTCAGGAGTTCAAGAGCAGCCTGGCCAACACGAAAGCCCTGTCTCTACTAAAACTACAAAAATCAGCCGGGCACAGTGGCACACACCTGTAATCCCAGCTACTTGAGAGGCCGAGGTTGCAATGAGCCCATATCATGCCACCACACCCCAGCCTGGGCGACAGAGCAACAGTCCATCTTAAAAAAAAAATTAACTATGTGAACGGTGTCTACTTTTGGAGCCAAAGGGCTTGGAAATATGAGATGCATTCTGTTTCCACCCCAGAACCTCAGTGCAGCAGAGACAATAGCTAAGAAGCAGTACTTAAGACTGCTTGTGGCTCTCCCTCATCCACAGTGAGGGAGACAAGTAGCAGAGTGGTAACAGGTACAGAATGTCTGCTGGCCATTTCTTGGCTTCAACATCCCCCTCCATTCCCAATCTCTATTTGTGTTTCCTGTTTGTGCACGTGCACATGTGCACGTGCGCGCACACATACACACACACACACACATCAGAAAAGGAAGACAAAAATGGAATAGCATGATTGCTCATTATGCAGGCCTTGGCAAATACCTGTCTTGATCAGAAAGAGGAATCACTCACCGGGGCTTTTTTGTCAATGGGCTTGATGACAAATTTCTTATCATTGAAAGAGATGTTCCTGATTTCACTCCAGGGGAAGCCTATCTTGGGAGTCAGTCTGTAGAAATGGAAACCAATAACATCAGGACAAGGGCCAGACAAGAAGGACATAGATAACTGGTGGCTTGCCCTCACTGTCACACCCAAGCTTCTGTGTTTCTCTTTTTTTTTTAATGTACAGAGATGAGGTCTTACTATGTTACCCAGGCTGGTCTTGAACTCTTGGGCTCAAGCAATCCTCCTGCCTCAGTCTCCCAGAGTGCTGGGATTACAGGCATGAGCCATTGAGCCTGGCCAAACAAACACTTCTCTCTGAAGGAGGTAGACTCAGTGCCAGCTCAGCCAGTGTCATCACATGCCACCAGGCCAGTTGCCAGCACTGAGAGTTCACTAAAGGATCTCCTGATACAACTAACATATGATTCCTTGTCTCAAGTTTGTTTCGTTATGTTTTTGTTTGAGGCAAGGAACTTGTGACAATTCCTCAAGGGAATCCTCAGCCCTATTTAACTGAGTCTCTTCTATCCAAGCTTACAAAAGTTAGAGAGAAGGTAAATAATGAACTCCAAGATTCAGGAGTCATATGGAACAATAATCTATTGCTCTCCATCCTCACCAAGAGTACACCAAGTGAAAAATATAGGCAAGTGAGATAAGACTACAGTGAGTGGATTACAGGTCAAAAGACACATAATCATCATATGAGACCAATTACATATCCCAGTAAGATAAACTAGGCCTGCATGATCTGATAAAAACATAATGAGTGTCACATATATAATTTTTTTTTTTGAGACAGAATTTGGCTCTTGTTGCTCAGGCTGGAGTGCAATGGCGCGATCTCGGCTCACTACAACCTCTGCCTCCTGGGTTCAAGCAATTCTCCTGCCTCAGCCTCCCGAGTAACTGGGATTACCGGCATGTGTCACCACGCTCGGCTAATTTTGTATTTTTAGTAGAGACAGGGTTTCTCCATGTTGGTCAGGCTGGTCTCAAACTCCCGATATCAGGTGATCCACCCTCCTCAGCCTCCCAAAGTGCTCGAATTACAGGTGTGAGCCACCACACCCAGCCACATATATAATTTTAAGTTTTCTAGTAGCCATATGAAAATAAGTAAAAAGAAACAGATGTAATAAAATTATAGTAAGTTTAAATAACCCAACATATCTAAAATATTGTCATTTGAACATGTAAATAAGTGTTTTTTAAAATATTGAGACATTTTACATTCTGTTTTTTACACTAAGTCTTCAAAGTCCAGTGTGTAGTTTACACTTACAGCACATCTCAATTCAAAGTAGCCACATTTCAAGTGTTCAATAGCCCCCATGTGGCTGGTGGCTATTGTAGTTGACAGTGTGAGTCTAGTCAATACAGGGTTTAGAGGCCTAAGGGAAGTTGTGAAATCATCTGGGCTGGACTAAATTAGGTAGAAAAAAGAACTGAGGTGAGACTCAAGAGGTATGGCCCTGCTCCTTGGTGAAAGGTGAACTCTAGATGTTAAAGTGACTTAAATAAACTAAAAGAGATCTGAGATATACCTGTCATTCTGCTCATAGATGTTGAGACCCAGGGCATCCACCCCCAGCCACAGCTCTGAGCCTTTCTTGTTCTTGATGCTGAAATAGTTCACACCATACATCTCCAGATCTTGGGCAATCTTCAGATATTCCAGGACAGCATCCTCCCTAAATGACACAGAGTTGCGGGTCAAAAAGGGAGCCTGTGAGTCAGACCCAGGGAGATAGAAAGCCTGCTTGTGCTGTACTTCTGATAAGGATTTTGCTGTTAGGAGTGGGAAAGGGGACAAAAAGCTAGCAGATGATGGAGAACAGAGCACAACATGACTTTTTCAAAGCAAAATCTCCTAGCAAAAACCTAGGGTCTATGCTCCCAAAGGGAATAAAGATGGACTGACCCTTGCTGGCCTCTGGCATGTTGGCTGCCATAGAAGCAATTTTCTTTCTCTCGTTCATTATGACAGCCTCTTATACAGGTACATTCTTAGCAGGGCTCAGAATGTAGTGACGGCAAAATGATCTTTGTTCTGTAACTAGGCAACCCTCAAAAATGCTTTGCCATGTTTAAGAGCTCCTCCCTCATTTCCTTCTGGAGAGGAGTGGGGTAGTTCTTGGCGGCCCATCAGCTTCCTGGACATCCTGAGGTCCCCTCCATCTCTTGATAGTCAAAATTGTTTGGGCTACCAGTTACCACCATTCAACGAAACAAGCAAACAAAAAACAGCCCTGTAATGGTCCTAGTTTGCCTTCTATTGTCCCTGTTTCCTCTTTCTCCCACACTCACCAATGTCCCTTGTCATCTGTCTCTTCTTCCCAGAATGCATTATCATTCTCCCTGTATGGGAAGTGAGGCCCACCACTGCTGGGGCAAGCTTACCTGAGCATGCCACGGTGCTCCTCATGCCACACCTGGATCCGCTCCTCCCACTGGTCCTTGTTGAGTTTGTGCTGTTCCAGGACTCTGGAAAGGCAATGAGTGATGAGTAGTTAAAAGCACAAAGCCCCTGTGCAGGAGAGAAGGGAAGCCCATTTAGCTTTCTACGGGGTTGATGCAAAGAGGATGCAGAGTCAGCCAATTGAGATCACACTGGAAGTGGACTGTAATTATAGCAAGAATGTATAAAACTAGACGCAAGGAATTGCCTGAAAGGTAAGAGAGCTACAACACTGGATGATCAAAAACAACAAGCGGAACATCTTCCTTTGTACCTTTATCCACAAAATCAAGTGATGTGCTGTAGTCCCTAACCATAGCAGTAATGTATCAGGAGTTTGTGCTGACTTTAGAGGCTAACAGTAGGGATGGACCTCATGGAGCCAGGTACACTCTCTCCTAGATCGTCTTGGGACAAACAGCCTATGTTTATAAGAATACTGCTCAGAGATGAAAGGATGGCCTTTGGCTACAGAGCAAAGAATTGAGTCCTAATGTCTTTGAGAAAAACCAACAGGTCCAGCCTCCCAGACCTACCAGATTATAAAAAAGATTTGCTTTAAACATGCCCTCTCAGATATCATAGCAATGACTCTGGTAGAGTCCCCAGGGTACAACCACTATCCCTAATATCTTATGTGTGTGTGCATATATGCTATAGTTCCAATGGGACTGTGGCTCCCAGAATGAAGCAAAGCTTTTCCTTCTAATCCAAAAGACTATGGAAATGGCCATTGGGTATAGCAGGAAAAAAGTCAGTGCTAAAATATTAAGATGCTAAGGTTCCAGGTCTGGCTCTGGCTCTGCCTCAGATGAACTGCAGCAGATGTGGAAAGTCAGTGTGAGTACCTCTGCACCTCTATGTCCTCGGCCAGGAAATAAGGACAATGCCTGCTTCGTTCATTTTGTGTGTTATTGTGACGCAGAAATAAAATGAGTGTTTCAGAGCTTTCACCTTTGAAGTTTACAAAGCGAGAAAGCTCTGTACACTAGTTGTCAATATTAAAAGACTATCTGAGTTCCCCTTGTCCCTGGTTTGTCAATTTCTCTCTCTCCCCTGTGAACTTCTGATGTAAGATCTTCCTTCAGTAAAAAGAACTGAGAAAATGGAACCAGGGAGGGGTGAAAGAAATTACTGAACCTCTGGTTCTATATAAGCACCTGCCTCCAGGGTAACAAAGCTCTGTAATCAGGTAGACAGAGGAGGGAAAAGGCTTTTTCTTTGGAAAGGCAGAAAAACAACTGCACTACATGCAAATGTCTCTTGAGCAGCATAACACAGACTTCAGACAGACCCCAATGAAGCGGAACAGATCTGGCATCCCCTGTGGGGCAGAAATTGGTCAGCTGTGGGCTGCAGCCCCTTCTGACCAAGGCAAAGGAGGGCAGGGAACCACCTTACCTCTGCGGTAGCAACTTGTCTCCGGCCAGGTAGCCAGACTTATGCACCTCCTTATTGAAGTCGCCATACTTAGACTGGACAGCATACGAGGCCAGCAGCACAGCAGTCTCAGGCGGGCAGTAAATATCATCATTGAGAATGCCCTCTTTCACTTGCAGAAAGAACAGGCGCTGAGTGATGTCCTGGATCAATTCCTCAGACACATCCTCAGGGTAGAACTTGGCACGGAACTTAAAGAGCAGGGGGCTTTCCTTCCGCACATCCTGGGCAGTCACCTGGGAGCAGTAAGGGTTATGAGCTCTCAAAAAATAGGTTTTAAGGGTGATGGAGTGGCTGTAGGTTGAGGAGAAACACTGAAAGGTCATCAATTTGCCTAATCTTAAAGAGCTGGATGGCAACCCTCCTGGCAATTAAGAAAAACAATACATTACTTTCATTGGGGACTAAATTCCATGCCTGTAATCACTTTCAGTTGGGAATTTCTTCCTGAAATTACCTTAATACCAACTGATGATCAGAAGTCTTCAAACCACTTTTATCTGACTATATCCAACTACCCCAAATTCTGAGGGTAGGCATAAGCTCTTCTTTTAAGCTCATCTTCTAAGTCTCCTCCAACTTCATAAATTAGCAAAGTAAGGACTAGGATGTGTGACTGAGGCTTGAGAATTGTCTAGACAACAGCACAAATTAGATCATCTTTTAAAGCCTGAAGCGGATTACTAGACTGGCTCCACACTTGTCCAGAAAAAGACTCAATTCTAGGAAAATAAGACTCTACCAGCAGAAGGTGGGGTACCTACTCCTAGACACAATCAGAGAAGCAAACTTCAGGACAGTATGGAGACTTCTAAGGACAAGGCCAGCCAGTTTGCAGATACGAAGATAGAAGGCTACCAAGTTCCTGTGGAGATGCTGCTTGGGGTGGTGGAGAGCTTGCATGGAGTCAAACTATCCCATTTGGGGTCCAGTTGAGGTAAAAGATCAAGAAAGAGGGAAACATCTGTATGGGGTTCAGGCATCAGTTGACTGCTGGAGTAGGAGCAGCATAAGACTGTGAGATCTTTCAGATTTTTTTTCCAGTTCAAGAATCTGTGGCTCTTTTTAACAAATCTCCTAAAGCCATTGAGTTGGAAGAGATGAAGGGAATACCGATTCTCTCTTGAAGAGCCACAAGTGGATTTGATCCAAAACAAAATAAAGTTCAAGCTAGAGTTCCCAGTAGAAAGGGAAGAGTCTCTTCTTCTTTGAATGCTGGCCATTCTCACTGTTAGAATTCAAAATGGAGACAGAGCAAGAGCTTTGCTTTGGCTGAATCCTCTGTCTTTATTCTGATCCAGGTGGTCAGCAGACCACCCAGTCATGAACACAGTCCTAGGTATCCAGGATTTGCCAACTAGCACATGGTACCCTCCCAGGAAAGTTCTGGAAAAGAAAATAATTCTAAATCCAACAGAGGAATAAGCAGTTACCTTCTTATTGAGTTTCAGCCAGGTGGAGAAACCTTTAGTGTCCTGGTACTGCAGACCAAAGAACCAAACTTCCCTCAAGCCAATAGTTTTCACCACCTAGAAGAGAAAACCAAAACAACCAATCATTGATTGAATACCTCCCCTGTGAGAGCCACAGAGGACACAAATTTTGAAGCCAATATGATCTCTGCTATTAAAGGGTTTAAGGTGCTCAGGGTCTGGCAAGAAAATACACTTAAGCAGCAATGAAGAACTGATGTTGGCAGCTCTCTGCACTAAGTACTGCTGAAGTAGGAAAGGAATCATTTCTTATGAGCACTGACACATACCAAGAACCCTACATCCATCATCTCCTTTAATTTTCACAATAGCCCTATGATAGACTTATAATTAGGTCCATTTTATAGATATCAAAAATGAGGTTCAAAGAAATAAAATAATTTGCCCAATGTTCAGGTTGTGAGTGACAGAATTAGGGTTCAAACCAGGTCTGTTTGACTCCAAATCCATGCATATCCAGTAATTTCTGCCACCTCCTCCCTCCCTCTAAAATGTCATGCCAGTTCCCACTTCCATGATGAATTAAAGACTGAAGGTGAAGATGGTTGGATTAACTCCTGCATCTTGTTCTCTTGGGTTGCTCCCATATATTGTCCTTTATCCTTAGCAACTGGGGTTAATACCCACACCCTTAAGACTGAGTTCCATTTATAATACCCCAGAAAAAGAATGTTTGAGAAGACAAAGTAGAGACTGTGAAGGATCCTGAAACCGTGGTGTGCCTGGGTTCTGAGAAGATTTTTTTCAACTCTGATAAGAGCCCAGTCATGATTACTCTTACACAAGTTTAGGTGGAAATGAGGGTAGAAATAGGGTAAGTCTCTCAGTGTAGTAGCTCAGGCATCCCCTGTTGTCCTGAGCCTCCTGGCTGAACAGTGGGCAGGAAAGGGAGGCTTGCCAAGAGAAGACAGATGAGCTCTGTTCTCTAGTCCCTGACATTAGCATGTTAATGGTCTGGCTGTCAGCTCAACCCCAGCATACCCACCACTGTCGATGGCAGTGGTGAAGCTGAGCCACATCCTAATGAGGTCAGGCTGGTATTAAGCAGTCTTCTTTATTTTGTTTTTTAGGGGAAGGATGCAAGTGGAAGGTTAGGGTAAGTTGAGTAAAGAATCATAGAAATATACCTGGAGATGGAAGCAGGGAACAAGGACCCAGTGTTGCTGATGTCCTTCCCTTATGAGCAAATTAATATCTCACTTCAAAACACACACACACACACACACACACACACTCTCTCTCTCTCTCTCTCTCTCTCTCTCTCTCTCTCTCTCTCTCTCTCTCTCTCACACACACACACACACACACACACACACAAAGATACACATATACACGCCAACACTGTATCTGCAAAGTTTCTATTATGCATCCAAAGTCAGGACCCACAGTCACACCGAGTTTACAATCTAGAGCTCAGAGGCCCCAAGGAAAAAAGTAGCTCATATTTACTAAGCACCAATCATGTGGCAGGCACTGAACAGTAAACAATCCTGTGAGAGAGCAATTATACCCATATTATAGATGAGGAACTAAGGCTTAGAGAGGTAATGCGTCTAAAATTACAGAGCCATATAGAACCCTGATGTGTCTGACTCTAAAGCTTGTACCTTTTCTTCTCTTAGCATGCTATCTCCTAATGCCAAGTGCTCATATAAGCTTAGAACTCCTGGGCTTCTCAAGTGATTAATTGCCTTGTCTCTCTTTTGGCCCAAATATACTATCCAGATAATAAACTTTGATCACCTCTGCATTGAGATATGCTTCCTGGCATTCCCACGAGACCGAACCAACAACCACTTTGGGGAGAAGCCATGTCCCCCAACTCATCAACCTTCATTGCTCACCAGGTCAGCCTTCCCATTTGTAGTTTGGATCAATTATCAGGAAACCTGGGCAAAATGTTCACTTCTGTCTCCAACTAGCTGCATGATATTAAGGTAGGACATTTCCTCTCGGGGCCTCAGCTTCCTTATCTATCCAAAATGGGGGGTATGGCTTCAATGATCTCTTTCTTCTCTTACATTCTATCATTGTACTGATTATGTTACAAGGTTATTTTGCAAATGGTTAATAAAAACAATCCCATTTCACAACTACCTTTTGTTGATTTGGATAATTAGGAACATGTTTAGAAAAGATCAGTGGTGGTGGGAGGTAATGGGGAAAGTTCAAAAGCCTGCCGGAATTCAATGGCCAGGTGAGTCCCTGACTCTAAGTCAATAGGCAGCAGGAACTGTCAGAAAGTTTCAGATGGAGAAATACGAATGTTTATGTTGAAAGATAATATTGGCTTTTTGCAGAGGATGGAGGTAGTGGGTGGTTGTGCATAGAAAATATTTTTTAAAGCACCTCTTATCTCATCCTAGATCTTAAATAGGGCCTAAGGCCTAATTAACAGTTCTAATCATTTTCCACAGGGTTGCAGAAGAATAGTGTGTCCAGATGCAATTGGCATGAAGAGGCAAGATCCAAGAAACACTCTAGCCAAGAGAGAGAGAGAGAGAGAGAGAGAAGACCCACTAAAGATGCTGAAGAGAAGCTGGACCATAAGGGCCAGGATATTAGGTCATGTCGGGGAGAACAGACTGGGAACAGAAGTAGCAGAGCAGTGCTATGGGTTGGATGTCATTTGTCCCCACCAAAACTCATGCTTATGCTTCATTGTAAGTGGCAGTGCTGGGAGGTTGAATCATTAAGAGGTAGTGTGTAATGAGAGGTGTTTCGGTCATGGGGACCCTGTCCCTGTGAATTACTTGACCTTCTGTTACATTATGAAGCAGCACAAAGGCCCTCACCAGAGGCTGAGCAGGTGCTAGTGCCATGCTCTTGGACTTTCCAGCCACCACAATTATGAGACAAATAAACCTCTTTTCTTTATAAAGTACGTAGCCCCAGGTCTTTTGTTGTAAGAACATAAAATGGTCTCAGACAAGCAGCAACTGGCCTTTGCCTGTACTAACAGACTAATTGTAGAGGCTCAAAGACTCCAACACTGAAATGAAGCGAGGTAAGCACAGACTATGCAGCCAGTCCCAGAATCCCAGGAGTGAGCCCCTCAGCCTCTTTTTGTACCACATTGTCTGTTTCACTATTGGATGGGGGTAGGACTGTGATAAGAGAAGGAGGATCATGGTGACTAAAGCATTTCTGAGATCCAGAGTAACTGAAAAGTTGGACAAAGTAAAACCTAAAGCAGTGTCAAAAAAACAACAACAGAATTCCGGCTCAGTGGGGGGTTTTGATCTCTTTGAGCGCTGTCTCTTCCTTTGTGAACATAAAGAAATCAGAAAGATAAATTTTCCACTTCCTTAGGCTCTAGGGCTTAAAGAGATGAGTAATACCTCTCAGCCTGCACTGAAGTCCCAAAGTGAGAAATTGAGGATGTGGCAGGAAGGAAATATGGTCTGAAATCAGAGTTGAAACTGAAAAAGAACAAAGAACAAAAATGGATGACTCCTGACTCCAGGCTACAAGGAAATCTCTAAGGCCCATGAGGGTGCTGTGAACCATTTTAACAGGCAACTCTAAACCCCTTTTCCAAGCCAAGTTTTTTCTTGCTTTCAGCTTTGCTTTCAGTTGAGACCTCCATTCCAGAGGAAAGAGAAACCTATTTTCAAATGAGAGCTTAGCATCTAGCTTCCAGTTCCAGGAATAACCTCTGTGGCTCCAGTGACTAGGGTCCTTATCATTCCACTCCAAGAAATGGCTCTATCCCTGAGGAAAACGAAAATTCTTTATTGGCTCCTTTTGACCTGACAGCCAGCTTATCTGATCTTAGACAGTATTTCTCAAAACTGCCATGGAAAAAATCCTGAAGCAGCAGAAAATAATGAATGGATATACCCAAGGGACACAGAGGATGTGGCAGGGGGAGATAATAGGTAGATGGCTGAAAGACAGCTATAATTTATTTGAAGCCTCGGGTTTAGCCTTCATTATTTGTGCAAATTTTATATTCTACTCCATAAATAATGAATTTTTAAAATTATTACAAGTAAAATTAATGCTCTAGAATACTAAATCACATTCATCTCACAGCTTTGTGTCCCTCCTGGAGCCTGCCACATACACCTAAAGAAACTAGGACTTCAGTTTTTCAGACACTAGCTTAAGAAACTAGAGGNCCATGACTGTGGAGAGTTACAGGATTCAAGCAACATAAACTGGAAAACTGAGGTCCAGTGAAAAGAAAAGATCTGCCTCTGAGTAAACCTTAATTAATTATCAGAAGCTTCTGGAAGTAAGAAGAAAAAAAACCTTTACCTCCTTTTGGCATGTGGAGGCAAACTATATCTGAGGTCTGTAGAGGGGAGGGGAGATCAGGTCAGCTTAGGAGCCCAGAGATTCTCTTCTTGAATCTCCCAGAGCATGGCCAGGTGCAGTGGCTCATGCCTGTAATCCCAGTATTTTGGGAGGCCGAGGTAGGCAGATCCTTTGAGCTCAGGAGTTTAAGACCAGCCTAGGCAACATGGTGAGACCCCATTTCCACTAAAAATACAAAAAGATAGCTGGTGTGGGCACCTGTGGGCCCAGCTACACAGGAGGCTGAAGTGAGAGGATCACTTGAGACTGGGGGTGTGGCGGGGGGGGTGATGGTTGCAGTAAGATCACACGACTACACTCCAGCCTAAGTGACAGAGTAGACCTCGTCTCTCTAAAAAAGAAACACACACACACACACAATTCTAGAGGAGAATGAGGAAGTAATGCTGGAGTCACAAGAGAAGAACTGTGTGAGAAACAATGTGCAAAACTGCATCAATGCCCAAACACCTGAGGCCCTCAAGATACCATTACAGGTTTCTCAGCATCTACATCAGCCACCCACCTGAAAGCAAATCATTGCACCACTGGAAAGCACCAAGATGGGCTACCACTATTGCTGTTTCTGTTATTCCACATTGCCTGTAATCAAGTGGCCACCTACTCTATAGCAGAGAACATACTCAGCCTATGTTCTAAGATTCTTTCTTTTTATCTTTTTTTTTTTAATAGGGTCTTGCTGTTACCCAAGGTGGAGTGCAGTGGCCCAATCA